ACATGATCAGGTACCCCAATACTGTCATAGAGCAGATGCCTCTTCCGTCACTCTGAAATGGGCTCTGTGGAGAAAGACATCCTCTTCTTTATCTCTGCTGGTGACTCTCCTTGTGTCAATGCACTCCAGTGGCTGGTACAGCAGCTACAGGGTCCTGGCACTCACACAGCCAGAGATGGAGGCTGTCAGGCTAATGCAATCCACAATGAGTCCTCTGAAGTTCATTGAGAGTACACTATTCACATAAACAGAAAGGAAAAAGAAAATAAAATTACTTTAGTTTCATAATATATTTAATAAAAAAGGAATTGAGAGAGTGCTACATCAAGACATAACTAAATTATAGTCTTACTTCCTTCTCCAACTCAAAGCACGGTCGAGGTGTCTAGCCGCCTTTGTGGCAGCCATGGTTATTGTGGTGGCTGTGGTGGGCCACCCACAAAGAGGAGATGTTTTTGGCATGCTCCTTGGTGCTGGTGGTGTGCCTGGTTGTGGAGAGTATTCGATCCCCGGCTCCATACCCTGGGTCCCTGAGTGGGTCCTGAGTCACTGGCAAGGTGTGCCTGGTTGTGGGATGGGGGTGTGGTCCCTGGCTGCTAACCCCGGGCCCCTGGGCAGGCCCCAAGGCATTGGTGGTGTGCCTGGATGTGGGAATGGGGTCTGGTCCCCGGCTCCAATCCTTAGGTTCCTGGGTGGGGCTCTGAGATGCTAACAGTATGAGTGGTTGCAGGTGGGAGTCCCGTCCCTGGCTCCATGCCTTATGTCCCCTGGTGGGCCCCAAGGCATTGGTGGTGTGCCTGGGCTGGAACTAATTTTTTGTCCTTTGCTTCTAACATGGGGGAACTTCCTGTGGGAACCAGTACTTGAGCTGTGTGGTTTAGCTAAATTGCTGCTTTGCTGCTGTTTCCCTAGGGAAGGCTTTTTGTGCAGCTCAGGGTTTAATGGTTGACCTTATAGGTATTTCTGGCTCTCCAGATACTCAGAGCACCTGGGTTGTGTAAAAACTCTGATCTGGGCCTGAGTTTTTTCATCTTACCACACCCAATGCAATGCTGCATTCCCAACCAGTCTCCTCTGAGTGGTCCAGTGCTGATTGGGGTGCAGATCGGCTGTCTTTGCTGTATCCCAGTGTTCTCCTAGTGGGCCTGTCTCCTCCACCGCCCGTGCTCCAAACACTTCCCATGGGACAGGCCCTGCGCAGGTCCCTTGCGTTGACTCACCAGCCTCTGAATGGCTCCTCTTTTTCAGCTGTTCTGGCTCCTCACTCCTGCGTGGGTCCACGGGAACCCTACCAATGGTCTTGCTTTCCTGGGGGCCTCCAAGTAACTCCATCTAAAGGGCACAGCTGCGACTTCTGCCAGCTCCTGCTCCACGCACTCCAGCATTAAAGTGGCCACAGCCCAAAACACTGAGAGCAGTTTTTTCTTTCTCTCATCGTGGTTTCTTCCTCCTTCATGAGTTCCGTAGGTCTCTCCTCCTCTTCACCTGAGCTCCAGTGGCCCCAGCTTGGCTGATTTTACATTTTTATAGTTGGAAATTCATTGATTTGTGGGAGAGAGTGATGCTGTGGACCGTCTATTCTGCCATCTTGACCAAAACCGGAAAAAAAGATGCTAGTGTGGTTTTAAAAACTCATATATTACATATTTATATGGAGCTATGTTGTTCCATATTTATATTATATTAATACCATTAATATATATTATTTTAGGTCCCACAGTCTTTTGTCAGGATGCTCAGTCTACAGCTTGGGTTTTCTCTCCTGCTACAGAACTTGCAACTGGTTGCTGTGTCTCTCATTCTGTATTCCTTTCTATAAAATTTTCTCTGAGAGTCATGTATTTGAAGAATGACTTTTTGATACCTGAAAAGGTGATGTGGCATTAACTTGGAGTGCTATGCTGTGCTTTTGGCTAAGGTAGTTAGTAGGTGACTACAGATTGTCCGTGGTCTCCACCATTACAAACTCCCAAACACTTTTCTTTAGTGTCCTATCTCAGGAAAGGAAGAATTGTTGATATATGAATTAGTGCATGCCTTGCTATTGTTTTCTTTTTTTCTCATTTGTGAGCTTGGTTACTAAGACTTGAATATTGCTTTCTTTTAAAACAGTTGCCCAAATGAAATCATCTTGGTGTTTGTATTTGCTTTATTACTCTTCTGTGACTTTTACAGGCAGCCTTGGAAACAAAAGACCCGTTCTTTACTTCCCTGGCATACTCTGGGTCGTTTGTGAACATGAGAAAGAAAAAAGATGAAGATTTTTTCCCTTTTGCTCAGATATCTATGGCATTGTCAGAATTCTCTAGGCTAAATTAGGTGGAACAAAATCTGAAGTCATTTTGAAAGTATGTGACTTTCTATAGATTCTAGACCAGAGGTCAGCAGACTTTCTGTAAAGGCCCAGATAGTAAATATTTTAGGCTTTGTAGGCCATATGGTCTCTGTGGCAACTACTCAGTTTTGCCATTGTAGTTCGAAAGCAGCCATGGATGATATGCAAACAAATGGATGTGGCAGTGTGCCAATAAAACTTTATTTACAAAAAACAAATAGTGAACAAATTTGGCCCCAGACCATCATTTGTTGACCCCTGTTTTCTGTTACTTAAGCTTTGTCTAGCAGGAATCTAATTCTTTGGCTACATGATTTCTTACCAACCATATGTTTCAGAGCTTCTTTCTATTGCCAAAGATCCTAGTGGGTTTTCTCTTCAAAAATAAAGAATGATATTTACAAAGCTAATGATTACCCACTACATTCTAAGTTCATTCAGAGTCAGAAGGGAAGCAAGCCCAGTATTACTAGACCACCTATTAATCTCTTTCTTTCCAAGGTTAGAGTAGGTGCAAGCTACAACCCTACTTGGTCCAAGAACATGTAGATCCCTGACCTCCTCCTGTGTTTTAAACCTCCTCACAGTTGTAGAAGGTATCCAAGTTCATAAACTGTTCAATCAGCATTTTATTTCATTATGGCCATCCAGACCATAGATCTGAAAAGTGTCTTACTTCTATCACTTAATTCCTTTGGAAAGTAAATATAGGTGTGAAAAATACCCAGTGATTGAGTTGAAAATAAGACCTTTTCTGGGGTCTCTTAGTCACTTTCTCACATTATGTCTCAGTTTACCCATGGACAATTTGGAAATCATAAGACCTTTTTGTATTACAGATTCTGGGATGGAGAGTAAATTAGTCCGTTTTGTGTTGCTTATAACAAAATACATGGAACTGGGTAATTATAAAGAAACATAACATTGATTGCTTACAGTTTCTGAGGCTGAAAAGTCCAAAGTCCATCTGGTGGTGGGACAGTGACCCAGGGGGCTCACATTGCAAGATGGTGGAAGCAGAGAGAGCAGAGAGAGTGCAAAAGGCAGACAATCCTTTCCTTTTAAAGCCCTCAGAACCACACCCCTGACCACCATTTTTAATCCATTCACTACTGCAGGGTCCTACAATCCAATCACCTCTTCAAGGCTTCGCCTTTCAATTACCATAATAGGATTTCCTACCCTCTTAGCGGTCACAGTGGGGACTAAGTTTCTAATAGGGGCCGGCCCGGTGGTGCACTGCTGCAGTGCGCTGCTTGAGAGCGCGGTGGCGCTCCCGCCGAGGGTTCGGATCCCACATACAGACCGGTTCCCGCTCACTGGCTGAGCGAGGTGTGGGAGCAACACCGAGGGTTGCGATCCCGTTGCCGATCCCGGTCCGGTACCGGCGTGACACTGAGGGTTGCGATCCATTGCCGGACATGAAAAAAGACAAAAAGGAAAAAAAAAAGTTTCTAATACATAAAACTTGAGGGACACAATTCAAGCTTCAGGGAGTTTTGGGGGGACATAATTCAATCCACTGCAGAGGGCAATATAGGAGGGACTGCTGTCTTTCATTATGAATTATGTACCTAAATTTTTTCCATGAAAGAAGTTTCTAATAGTTTTAGTAAATATTTTGGAGAGGATTATTTTTAAATATTTATTGTGTTTGATGAACAGTATATGGGGATACATTTTTTATGAGATACTTATCCTAAGAAGCTATAATAAGAATATATTCCCACTGCCACCTTATAATTTTTAAATTAGCATTTTCTAATATAAAAGTAATAAACTTTTGTAGAAGGAAATGCTAGCATTTAGTAACCATCCTTTTGACATTTGTCTGTGCACATGTGTACATGTAGATAAAATTTTAAATTTTCACATGCATGAGATGATATACAAAATATTTCTGTAACCTTCCTTTTTACTGAAGAATATAGAATGGATATACTTCTGGGTCAGTAAATATGGATCAACATTAACCTTAATGGCCACATGGCATTCCACAGTATAGATTAAGTACTTACTGTAACCTCCCCTATTAGTGCATTTTAAGTGCTTTGTACTTTTCCACTATTATAGAGAATGCTGGGGCAAATATTCCCATATGTATCTTCTCACCCTGCCAAAGTATCTCTTCAAGATAAATTCCTAGAAGTAGAATTTGCAGAATTATGTGTGTGTGCATATATACATGTGTGTGTGTGTGTGTGTGTAATTCTGACACAGAAAAATTTATGCCCATGTCATATTCTCCCAAATAGTTAATGAGAGTGCTTTACATCCTCACCAATACTGGAAAATTTCTATAATTTCTTAACATATCAGTTATCAGGATCTCAGCATCCTTTATGTTTGCTATTGTTATTTTCTAAAGTATTTTATACTTTTTAAATTAACACCTACATAGCACTTACTATGTGTCAGAGACCTTAACTTACAGATGAAGAAACTGTTGAACAGCTTGAAGGTTGTACATCTAGTGAGTGGTGAAGCCATGACCTGATCCTTCCTGGTGATTGCAAGTTCATCCTCTTGGAGGAAAAGCTTAGCTGGTACGGAAAGGAACCTGGATACCAGGAGTCAGAGAGTCAAATCCTTACTATCAGACCACCTATATTTTCGGTATTTTATATTTTAATTGTTTTTAAAATAACCCCTTTGATTTTTTTAGGGTGTATCGAGGTCAGAAGAAATTAAAAGAAGCTTTGCCCTATTATCAAAAGGCTTTGGAATATGTTGAGATCAGTAAAGGTGAAAACTGTCTTGAGTGTGTACCAGTATTGAGGGAATTAGCAGGTGTAGAGCAAGCCCTAAGATTCCACGACGCATCCATCAATCATTTCTTACAGGTAAGCTGCAACACACTGGCCACCAAAGCTGTTCTATACCCAATGGTTTTCACAGATACAAGTAGCATAGCAACCCTGAAAATGCCTGGCTTTGTCATTTGCCCTAGATAAGTAGAACACTTGAAGTAGATGTTAAAGATTTTCTTTTTAGATAGCCAGTGGGTGAGAGCCAGGGACTGGTCCCCTGTTACCAGCTGCACAGGCCACAAACAGCTTGACACTCCCTGAAGGTGTTTCTTCTCATATTATGTGCATAATTTAAATAAAGTTTCTTTGTCCTTCAGTATTTATTTATTTAGAGCTTATCTTACCAAACCAATTAGGACTCTCTTCTACTACACTCTAAAATTCTGCCTGAAGCTGCTTAGAGTTGCATCTGTTAGCTGCTATTCTGCCCGTCATTATAGGATTCCTTAGTGAGTGTGTCAGTCAGGGTTCTCCAGGATATGTGCATATATACATATACGTACATGCATACATACATACATACATACATATAGACAGAGAGAGAGGGGGAGATTTGTTTTAAGGAATTGGCTCATGTGATTTTAGGGACTGGCAAGGCCTAAATCCACAGGGCAGGCTGGCAGGCTGGAAATTTCTATGTTACGGTCTTATGTTCAGGAAGGATTTCTATGTTACAGTCTTATAGCAAGATTCTTTCTTCTCCAGGAACCTCAATTTTTGGCTCTTTAGGTCTTCAACTGATTGGATGAGGCCCACGTATAATATTGAGGATAATCTCATTTTCTAAGTCAATTTATTATAAATGTTAATCACATCTACAAAATATATTCACAACATCTAGACTAGTGTTTGACCAAATGGCTGGGCTTAGCCAAGTTGACACATAAAATTAACCATCTCAGTTAGTTTGATATCTTTGTATAGTGTCATCTGCTAAAAGCACTTTTTTTTCCTGAGAATTATTCTCTGTTAAAGTAAAATATAGAGTAGCCCATTCCTGTTGTTTCAGATGAGGTATAATGACATGGTACTGAGAGTACCTTATTGATACTTCTTTTTACATTTGACAATTTCTATTCCCATTCAGTTTGTTAGAGTGCGCCATTCTCTCACTTTATCTGGATTATCTCTTTTAATCGTTATTACCACTCTGTGACAGATTATTATTTCCAGTTTATAGATAAGGAAGCCGAGAATTAGAAAGGTTGAATGATATGCCCATGAGTACACAGCCCAGACTCAAAACCAGCTTTTTTTGGAAAGATTATCCCAGCTGATAATAAAAAACCTGAGAGTGAACTGGGTAGGTTGTACCAAGTGTGACAGTAGAGAGACCAGTTAGGAGGCTGCAGAAGTAGTGAAAGCTGAACAGATGGTGGTTGACCTAGGATGGAGACAGTGGGGACAAAGAGAAGTAGATGGACTTGAGAAAAATCTAGGAGTCAGACGTGGAGATTGATTGGATGTGGGGAAGAAGGTAGGAAGAGTCAAAGGTGACCCCCAGGTCCCTGGTCTGGACAACCGAGTAGATGTTTGTGACCCTCACAGTGGGGGGACAGGTGTGTCCACATGATGGAGACAAGGCGAGCTCCCTTTCAGAGGCTGAGTCTGAGAGGCCCATGAGGCGTGCAAGTGTAAATGACAGTGAGGCAGTTGGATCATTGGGATTGGAGCTCGGGAAGTTGGTCAGGAAGCCACCTGCTTCTACACAGTGACTGCCTGGGGAGGGTCGATGGAGGGAGAAGAGGACTGATGACAGAATCCTGAAGAACTTTGCTGTTCATCCATGAAGTAAGGAAAGATAACCTGGCAAATGAAACAGAAAGGATTTGCCAGAAAAACAGAAAGACAAGTAAAAATGTCACCTCTTTGATACCTGAAACTATTATGGAAGACATGGAGTTGTTGAGAGGATCAGAGAGTTAATATCTGTGAAGTGCCTAGTACAGTGCCTGGTACATAGTGCTACATGTGGATTTTCTACAATGTGTCTCTCTCCTTTCTCCCCTTTCCTTTTCTTTTTCTTTCACTGATGACTTTGTTGAGGGGAATATTGGTGCAATGATGAGGACAGAAATCAGACTATAGTGAGAGAGATGAGAGGAAGCAAAAATAACAAGTGTAGATACCAGTTTCAAAAAACTATATCATGGAAAAGTACAATTGAGAGATAAAACGGATCTTTCCATGAATTTTTTGAAGTACCCTCATATATTCAGAGATAATTATTTATATTTAAATCATATGAAAGTATACTGAATATATCATGTCCCTTTGTCCTTGAGTACTTCAATGTATGTTTTATGTGAACAGGGATACTCTCTTAGGTAACCACAATACAGTTACCAAATTCAGGAAGTACAGCATCGGTACAGGTCATATGCCATTTTGTCCATTGTCCCAGTTCTGTCCTTTATGGCAATTTTTTCCCCTCCAATACACAATCCAGTCCAGATTTAGTTGTCATAACTCTGGTCTTCTTTAATATAGACCAGTTTCCCACCCAGTCTTTGTGTCTAATGACACTGAAATTTTAGAATATAGGCCAGCTGTTTCACAGACTGTTCCTCAGTTTGGGTTTGTCTGGTGTTTCCTCATGACTAGATTCTGGAGATGCATGCCCAACTAAATAGAACAGTACGAAAGGATATTGTATCTTCTTGGGGTATTGAATGCAGAAGCACATGATATCCATCTGCCCTTCACTGGTGACATTAATTTTTATCACTATTCACGATGATGTATAGTTTTTTCACTATATAGTAACTATTTTATTCCTTGTAGCTAATAAGCATTCTATAGAGAGACATTTTTAAGACCATATAAATATCATGCTTCTCATAAGAATTTTCCATCTAGGTTTAGCATCAACTGATGAATGTTTCCTGAACCAGTCTTAACTGTGATGGTTGTGAAATAATGATTTTCCATTTTACCATTTCATCCACGTTTATCAGCTGGCATTCTGCTGTTAGGAGTGTCCTTCTCTCTCCCCACCAAGTTATTTATTTGTCATCTATACGTTTCCTTTTTTCACTTAATAATATATCCTGGAAATTGCTTTATAACAGTTCATAAAAATCTTTCTTATTCATCATTATTCACGGTATATTCACTATCTAATAGGCATAATAATACATTTTGTGTATGTGCTATGGTTTTTTTTCAAATAGCCTCCTATGTTTGGGCATTTAAGATAGGTTTCATTATTTTGCAGTTATTTTCATATTGTTGGAGTCAAGTCTTCAGAGTAAATTACTGGATGTGGGCCTGCTAGGTCAAAGGGAACATGCATTATTGGCAGTTTTATTTTATTGCAAAATTGTATTGGTAGTTTAGTCTTATTGCTAATTGTACTATATTGCCAAATTGCCTTTCATTTGGGCTTTTAACATTTGTATTTCCATTAGCGATGCATGTGAGTGCCATTTTCCCCACAACCTGTTCCAACAAAGTGTATTGTCAAGCTTTTGACTTTGTTCCAATCTTATGGGTGAGAAATGACATCTCAGTGTAATTTTGATTTGCATTTCTATTTTTTTTAATGGAGCTGAATGTCTTTTCACCTGTTTAAGGCACTTTAATATATTTTTGTGAATTATTCACATCATTTGCCCATTTTAAATAGGATTTTTGGTCTAATTTTTCTTAAATATTAAAAGCTTTTTTATATCTTACACATATTGCCCCTTTATCTATGATATATGTTGTAAATACTTTCACCCAATCTGTCATTATTTTTAAATTTTGCTCATTTTTATTTTATTTTATTTTTTATTGAGACAATTTGTATACCATAAAATTTACCCTTTTAAAACGTATAATGTAGTGGCTTTCTTATATTCATAAAGTTTTGCAACCATTACCACTATCTAGTTCCAAAACATTTTCAAAAACCCTGTATCTTTTAGCAGTCATTCCTCATTCCCTCCTCCTCCCATCCCCTGGCAACCACCAATTTACTTTCTATTTCTATGGTTTTGCCTATTCTGTATATTTCATATAAATGGAATCCTATAATATGTGGCCTTTTGTGTCTGACTTCTTTCATTTAGCATAATGTGCTCAAGATTCATTCATGTTTAGCATGTATCAGTATTTCATTCATTTTTATGGCTGAACAATATTCCATTACACAGATGTACCACATTTGTTTATCCATTCATCAGTCGGATAAGCAGTTGGGTTGTTTCCACGTTTTGGCTATTATTAATAATGCTGCTGTGAAGATTTCTGTACAAGTTTTTGTACGGACATATGTTTTCAGTTCTCTTGGATGTAAGGCTAGCAATGGAATTGCTGGGTTATATGGTCACTCTGTATTTAACTTTTTGAGGAACTGCCGAGCAGCTATTTTCCAGTGCGGCCTCACTCTTTTCTATTCCCACCAGCAGTGCATGAGGGTTCCAATTTCTCCACATCTTTACCAACACTTGTTATTGCATGTCTTTTTTTTTTTTTTTTAGCCATTCTAATGAGTGTGAAGTGACACCTCATTGTGGTTTTTTATTTGAATTTCTCTAATAACTAATGCTGTGCATCTTTTTTGTATGCTTATTGGCCATTTGTATATCTTTGTTGGAGAGATTTCATTCAAATCTTTTGCTCATTTTTTAATGGGATTATTTTATTTTTATTGTTGACTTTTAAGAGTTCCTTATATATTCTTGATACTAGATACTAGACCTTTCTCAGCTTTGTGATTTGTAAATATTTTCTCCCAACCCATGGGTTGTCTTTTCACTTTCTTGATAGTGGCCTTTGAAGCACAAAAGTTTTTAATTTCGAATAAATCCAATTTGTCTATTTTTTTTGGTTGTGTTTTTGGTTTCACATATAAGAAACTGCCTAATCCAAGTTCATGAAGGCTTACATCTATGTTTTATAGTTTTTAGTTCTTACACTAAGGTCTTTGATCCATTTTGAGTTAATTTTTGTATATGGTGTGAGGTCGGGGTCTAATTTCAGTTTTTTGCATGTGGCTATCCAGTTGTCCTAGCACCATTATGGAAAGGACTATTCTTACACCATTG